AAATTATTAAAAAAATTAAATTAAAAATTAAAAAACAAAAAAACAAATACAGCACTTCCCAGATCCTATCGTTGTCTGAAAATACTTTTGTTGCCGAGATGACAGTTCAAAATCATGTTATAAAACCGGCTTTTTCGTGCAGTTGAATTGCCAGCTTTATATCCAACTCAAAAATGTAAAAGTTAACAATCTCAACATTTCTAAGGAACACCATCCGAAAATCGCATTATTTTCGCTAATCTGATACTTAACCATCCGTGAGAATATAGATATATATCAGTAGCCTTGGAAAACTTCATTCTACATCTAAAACCATAAACGGGTTTGTAGTCAACAATGAACATATTTGTTTGAATTGTGGATACCTGTAATATATAGTGAAATGAAGAAGCTATTTCCTCCATTGTTGCACAATTTTTTGTTCCTGAGAAAATTCCATTCAGCTATTTGTAACAATAGCAATAAACGTAACAAAGCGAGGCGCTATAATCAACTATAACCTTTCTCTTCTTCTTAATTGGCTTCGACACCGCTTACGCGATTATAGCCGAGTTAACAACAGCGCGCCAGTCGTTTCTTCATTTCGCTACGTGGCGCCAGTTTTTATCCCAAACGTAGCCAGGTCCCTCTCCACCTGGTCCTTCCAACGGAGTGGATGTCTTCCTCTTTCTCGAAAACTTATACTTTCAGTGCTGGAGTGTCTTCTATTCGGACAACATGACCTAGCCAACGTAGCCGCTGTCTTTTAATTCGAACTATGTCAATGTCGTCATATATCGCATACAGCTCATCGTTCCATCGAATGCGATATTCGCCGTGGCCAACGCGCAAAGGACCATAAATCTTTCGCAGAACTTTTCTCTCGAAAACTCGCAACATCGACTCATCAGTTGTTGACATCGTCCAATCTTCTGCACCGTATAGCAGTACGGGAATTATTAGTGATTTATAGAGTTCGGTTTTTGTTCGTTGAGAGAGAACTTTGCTTCTCAATTGCCTACTCAATCCAAAGTAGCATCAGTTGGCAAGAGTTATCCTACGTTGGATTTCCAGGCTGACATTGTTGATGGTGTTTACGCTGGTTCCAAGATAGACGAAATTATCTACGACTTCAAAGTTATGACTGTCAACAGTGACGTGAGAGCCAAGTCGCGAGTGCGACGACTGTTTGTTTAATGACAAGAGATATTTCGTCTTGCCCTCGTTCACTGCCAGACCCATTTGGTCTGCTTCCTTGTCCAGTCTGGAGAAAGCAGAACTAACGGCGCGGGTGTTGAGACCGATTATATCAATATCATCGGCATACGCCAGCAGCTGTACACTCTTATAAAAGATTGTACCTGCTCGATTAAGTTCTGCATCTCGTACTATTTTCTCCAGCAGTAGAGTGAAGAAGTCAACTATATACCAACTATAACCGCGAAATATAAAATATGAAACTACTTTAATCCCTATAGAGTGAACTGATAACGAGAGACAATGGAAGCGCAGCCTGAATATGAAGCATAAACCCGACTGTTGTGGGAACATCAAGAAAATAGTCGCAACTATCAGTCGAGGGTTTCTTAATGATGACTCTTCATGTTGCAAACGTGCAATTCTTGGTTTTTAATCTTAGTGGTTTCAAAAAGGACCCACCTACCTAGGACACTAAGATTCAATTGTAATTTGCAATTGGGTACGAATAAAATATAACAAGATCTTGCATTACATCCTACATTCTCCTGAATCATCTTAAGAATTTATCACATAATCACATAAAAACTTTATCGAAAATTTTTCCATAATAACATTTTACGCAGCTGACATTTATGCTAGCGATCTATGTAATCCATTTACAAGAGTATTTTAGTCTAGAATTTTAAAATTCATTTATATATCGATTGTTTCAAAAATACCTCCTTGAAAGGCTGTTATGTATTGAACATACATATTCAAATAATATCCAAAGCTATAGCTGTTTTCGTATCGTGGCAACTCGGCCACTTTAAGCGAGGACCGAAACTTTAAGCGATCTCTCTATCGTTTGAATTAACAAAAGTTGTAATTTCTAATATATTTATATGGGTTTCCTCGGTTAAAAAACAGTTTTTTTCAAAAATTGTTTTCTCATATAAAAAATTAAATATTTTATTCTATTTTTTTTATTATTACAGACATACACACTATTAACAAAGAAATTCTGAAATTTTTGGAAAAAAAATATTTTAAACTCGGCCATTGCCCTCGGAAAAAGATGTGCCCACGTTGGCAGGACAACTCCTTACGGAATCATCTAAAGTAAAAAAATAGTTGTTTTAATGAAAACCACAGCTCAGAACTTGGACCAAGGGGAAAAAACTGAAAATTGGATTTTGGCACACATTTAAAAAAAAAAAATTAAAATTTCGCTACAAGTTTTTTCAAATAGTTGTAATCGAAAAAAAAACCTTCGTCCAAGTCTTTCAGAATTGCATCTCATAGACATGTGTAAAATTTCATGAAGATCGGCTGAGTAGTTTTTTAGAAATCTTGCCAAAAGACTTCAAAAACACAGTCTCGAGCAAAACGCGTTTAAAGACGACACACTTAGCATAGTTATATTACTCGTATTAACTTGAAAATTTGAACAATATTTTAGAGGTGTTGTAGAATTCATTAAGATAATAAAAAAGTTAATTTAAACCCGTAAGCCAGTGTAACTCCTTCACAATAATACTCGATAAAGTAAAAGAAATAGTGAAAAATCCACCCTTATTTCCGAGAAGTTTTATTTTTACGTATTTTTTTTCAATTTTGAACTACTACATTTGTAGTTATCAAGAATCCGTCACTGTTTGATTTTTCACAAGGGTAGAAATCGTAACAACGAGTATACGTCCTCTTTCATCCCTACTTCAAGGACGAATAAATTATTATTATTTTTTTGAAATTTATTTTTTGTAATGTCATAAAAAAATATGGGAAAAAGGTAGAAAATGAATAATAAAAATACCGATTGGGAAAAAACGCGCGGAATTCGGGGCTAACGGCTTGAATACCTTTTCTATATGCTCTAATTATTTTCGCGGTTCGTTGCTTAAGTCTTTTGATTGACCAGCAGCACAATAATTTCGCTGTCAACCTTCAAAATATATATAAAAAAAAAAAAACACAAAAGGCACACTTAACAAGCAAACAAAACAAGCCTGACTCCAAACTATGCACATAAATTTGCTGTTTTATTATTTTTTATTGTAATTAAACACATGCACACACACTATATGCAATATATGATATCTAACTCCGCCCGGCGGCGCCACGTGCTCGCATGAGTCATATTATGCATACACCATACACCAAAAACGTTAGTTTACTCTGTCTACCACCACAAATGTGGGTAATCAAAACAAAAGCGCCAATAATTAGTGCAAACAAATAGAAATTTCAAAGTGCCGGCTGAAAATTACCCGAAACAAATAAGGTGTTTTGCGCAAACTCGCTAAGTGTCGAACTTATTTCCCCTCGTTGTGCAAGTGGAAGCGATATGATGTTGTGTTAACAATATATTTTGTTTGTGTAGCACACTTGTTGTTGTTTGATCAGTTGGCGTGAAGTGATTATTTGTGTTTGATGTTAACAGCTCTTCAAAAGTTGAATAGAGAGAATGTTCATTATTCAAAATCTGTTACTATAGCAGATTTTAAAAACATATGGAACTATGATGTCAGCTGATTGCATGCAAATTTTTACTGAAAAAATATTTACCCAAACAGTTTTTAAAAATACTCAAGTTTTTTCCATTGGTGAACATGAAAATTTTGTTTAATGTTTTCGTTATTATTTGATCTCAGAAATTTTGCACGGACAACCGAAAATTTAGAATTAATCTGGTATAAAAAACATCTTCAGTATATATGATTTAAGACAAGTCACACATATTGATTAGAAATTCCCAGATCCATACTTATACGTAGGTTATAACTGATTTTTTTGTAAAATATGTATATTCCGGCCAACCAAGTAGAGAATCGGTGTATCAGTGAGGTACTGACGCGATGTAAGCTTAATTGCTTTATGTACAATGTTCCATTTTATTCTGAGCTTTTATGGATTAATTGTGATTTTGAATGATTTGAAAGGTGTACAGACCAATAACCAAGAGAGGTAAAGTGTTAAAAAATCAGATTTCAACATATCATATATGTATGTCTTTGTCGCATGAGTCGGGGCTTCGCAATTGGAACGGATACGGTTAAGGACTGTGAAATCGACGGCGTTCTCCAGAAATATTTGTGGAATGTTTTCTGACCTAAAAAATTGCCACTAAACACAACTATGCAGCAACGCTCTGCCAAGAAGTGGCAACTTTCACAAATTTTTTCATATATTATAGTATATTTCAAATGAGTTTTGACTGTTTCTAAAGCCAAGCTATCTCACAACGGACTAACAACTAGAGTATAATTAATTTTATGTAGTATGAAAGATATAAAAATGCTTAAATTTAAACGGAATTCGGGTTTCGCAGCCAAAGCTCCATCGAACCCTCGAACTTGCCTGAAGGCAACTCGAATCGGTCGCATGTTGCAATGAATTTCCCCGAATAGTGTTGGTGTGTTCACGCAAAAGCAGCAGAAATACTACACTTTTATTAGAGACGAGGGCAGGTTAGAGCACACATTGCTCGAGCTCATGGATTCAGTTAGCGTTTGGATTTGTTCGTGACAATAGGGCTACGCGTCGTTCACGTTTCATCGTATATTTAGGGAGTCTGTGAGTGTTTGTCAGATTGTGTGCGCGTGTGTGTGAATCAATCACACATCCACACCAACAACCCCCAGACGGTGTATCTACAATAGCAACAAAACTAAGAACAATAATACCGAAGCGACGAACACAAATAGCAATCAAGCGAAACCGGTTCCGGTGCTACGCGTTCGTTTGTTGAATTGTGTGCGTGTGCACGACACAAATATACATACACACAAATATAAATTGTGGTGTTTAATTTGGTTTGTGTTTATTTTGCATAAATTGAATTTAAAGAAAATAATTCACTCGAGGAGCTTAGTGATTTTCGTGTGGAAATAGTGCAAGTGTTTTAAAATAATTTGCAAGAAAATATGTAATGTGCAGTGAATATGAAGTTAATTAATGTAAAAATCATAGTATATGCCCATCTAAGCAAAGTCAATGCCGAAAAAGTGGCAATTTGTGAATGCAACGCAATATGCTGTGGTGCGGCGTTGTTCGTGTGTAGCTGGCAAAGAGTCACCCCCGTGGATTAGTGGCTCTTTGCAGCTGCATACCGCGCCCCATGGCAAAAACCCTTTTCTCGACTAAGAAAGTTTGTGCTAATTTCATCTGAAATATGGAAAATATGTGTTTAATGCTTGCAGTATGTGTCGCAGCAATCAGCAAATACGCCAAACAAGGTGGGTTCAGGCGCAGAAAACCAACGAAAATAGCTTAGCAATATCTGCAAAACTTCATTCTTAGCCACCGACTTGGTGGGCTGCGTGTCTAACTGCCGACTTATGTGTCGCCATTGTTCTAACCATTTATAAAATTAATTTAATGCAAATTATTTTAGGAAAAACAATTGTAAACTGAAAGAAAAAATGCAAATTCATCACACTATTTCACATGTGGCGTTGGAGTTCCGTCATTGAAGTCTCAACTATCGATTTTTCGCTTCATTTTATCGCCAATTTTCCATGCGGCTGCTAGCAAGCGTTGAGTTTTCACAGCAGCAGCACCCTTGCTGTTCCACAACGCCCCAAATACGCCGCCAACCCCTTGTTTTGAACCTCAAACATTCATTTAAACACTTGTGTGCGCAAAAGGGTGTGTACTTGTGTACATTTAGACAGCGTATTCGCAGAGAAAAAACTGCTGAACTGTCTTTAGATTTTGTATGTTTTGGGTGCGGTGCACTTCCGTGGTCTCAAAAACCAAGACATAGCTGCTAGTTACTTCGGAAAATGCTGCCCTAACAAAGATCAAACAATTCTCTAACGTTTACATGTAAAATATATGCATTCGCAGTAATTTTTCATTTATAATTTTGCATCTGAAAAAATCATTTGTTCCTGATATATTCCCAAAAAGTGTTTTTTTTTTTTTGCTTTTAGTGGTATATCCATAAGTATTTAGCAATTAAATGCGCATGTCCTGCTTATACACACATGTTTCGTTGGGCAACTGTCAAATTGCAACTGTCAAAGTCTGCACAATGTTTTGCGTGGCACATAGTAGTCATCCCTGTTTCGCGTATTGCCACGTGTTGCAATTTTTCATTTAACACATTTTGCTGTATAACATAGCGTGACTGCTCTGATCCTTTGTTGCTTAGCGGCAGCAACTTGCTGTGGTACATTGTAAATAATTTGCATTTTGAAAAAAGTTAAAATTTATTCTACTGAATTTAACATATTCAATTTCTTGCTCCACACACTCTTCGCTTTACCAAACTATCATAGAATTTTATCTAATACAGAGAAAGTAGAGTGCCTTTACACCACCTGATATGTTTACATATTACAAGGTTTATTCCAAAGTAAACAGGACTTGAAAAAAACAGAACATGTTACAGCTCTTTGCACGTATGGCCGCCAGTATGGCGGTGCAAGTCTTTTGAATGGCCTCTAAGTCTGCATAATGCTTTCCTTTCATGAGCAAATGTATTTTTCCGAAAAGGAAGAAGTCGAACGATGCCATAACAGGCGAATACGAGGAGTGGTTAATGGTTAAAATGTGATTTTTGGTCAAATAATCGGTCACAAGCGTCGAATCAAATGGTGGATACTGAGTAATTTTTGGTCGTCAGTCAATTTGTGTGGAACAAACCATGCACACACCTTTCGTAAGCCCAAATTTTCGGTGAAAATGTGATAAATCGATGTTTTGGAGATGTTCAATTCCATTTTCATGAATTTCAATGATAATTTCGTCTGATTTTTGATGAATTCACGCACAGTTTCGATGGAATTTTCGGTGATCACGGATTTTGATTGGCTCATATGTTGAACGTCATTTATGTCCTTACGACCACTTTGAAAACGTTGAAACCACTCATGCACTCTGCTATGGGATAGGAAATCATCGCCATAAACTTGTTTCATCAATTGAAACGTTTCGGTAAAAGTTTTACCAATTTTAAAATAAAAATTTAATGTTGGCTCTTTGTTCGAAGCTCATTTTCGCAACGACTACACACACATAGTGACACTTAAAACGCATTAACTTCACTTCCAATTATTGAAATGTCATTAAATTTTCACTGAACAATACAACAAGATAGCAGATGCCAATGCACCAGTCGACATATAGGTGACACCAGCAGGGGGCGCTAGATTCAAAAAGTTCTGTTTAGTTTGGAAAGCACCTTTTATAGACTTTCGAACTCAACGGGTTTCTCAGTCATTCTTTCAGATGTAAAGGTTTTGACGAAAAGAGCAAAACTCAATTTACTTGGCAGAAAAGTAGCACATTTAAATAACAACTTTTTGTTTTCAAAATTTCTTTGTTCAAATTAGAAGTCTGAAGTTCACTGATTGATAAATAAAAATCTCTTTTTATACTAGAATTACCAAAACAGGACTGAAAGAGTCAAAGCAGCTTTGTATTTATTCGACTTTCTAAATTCAAAGAAAGTATAGTGTAAAAAGAGCTTCCAAATTAAACGTAGCAACAGCAGTTATGTAGATGCTAAGGTCATTTTAAGTTACTTAACGATACAGTAAAATATAACCCTAAAAAATAAAACTGGGACACTGATGTAGACAAATTCATATGCAAATAGTTCACCATCTCATCAGTAACAATCGATAAAGTTTCTTTAATATTTTGAATAAAAGGCAATGCTACATAGTATTCAATTCTCAAAAAATCATCATTTTAATAAAAAAAAAATCAACATATAGAAAAAAGTTTTGTGACAATGTTGTAGGTAATGAAAGGATCTACAACCTTCCTTAAAACATAAGAAATTTATTTATCGAAACTTTTCGAAAAAAAAAACGTGAATTCATCACGAAACCTTATTGTTTCAATTTTTCTCACTAATTTTACCTCTTCAAGAGAAATAAAACATCACTACAACGCACACATTTCTGCCAGTGTAGTCGTCTTTACTCGCCATCATCGCTTTGACCTGTCAACACGCATACATACACACATCCATATCAATACTGTTGAGAGTACTTTTCCAGAAGTGATACTTCTTATTTTCAGCTGGCAGCAGCGCAGCATCATAAATAGTTTGTCTACACTTGGTGCTTTGCTGTATATTTACATACTTGCCTATATATTTACTGGTTTGTTGTTATTGTAGTAGTCATTCGCATTATCCTTGCACGACACAGGATATTAACCCTCAGCAAGTTAGTCGCGCTATCAAGCAGATGTAGAGACATTCAGGCAGGCTCTCGGTAAATACATTTCCAAATAAGTACACACACACACATACAGGCAGCGAAGCAAAGCAAGTGTCGTTGCTGACGATGCCGTAGCGCATTTGGTGGATAGTTTTTATATTGCTAAGCAACATTATTTGTGCTGCCAATGCTTCATAAAAGGTCCCGTTGCTGTGCACAGTTGCATAGTCGGGCACTTCAGCGTGCTTGTCGCTATTGTTCCAATATAGAGATGAATATCTATATAGGTATATGTACATATATATATGCATATGTATGAAGCACACATTTAGTTGCGCTGCTGGTTGGCTTGGTTCAGTTTATTTTTGTTGTTGTGTTTCTTTAACATTTTTGGCATTTTTCTGACTGCAGTTGCATATTTGTTCATATGCTTGTATCATATCTTTAGAGTCTTCTCTTATTTTTATGCATGCACTTAGGTTCTCAACTTATTTTTATTTAGTCACCATGAAAGGCATCTCCATTTTGTTGTTTTAATTCTTCGTACTGTTGCAGTTGCTGTGGCTGTCGTGTGTTGCCTAGTGTTTTCGGTTGTTGTTTTTGCTATTCTAAGTACTATGTTAAGTGTCCTGTTGCTAAGTGCAAGGCAAGTATGCACATTTGTGTTGAAATTTAACATACATGCATACATATATATTGTAAGAATATACAATTACAATTTGTATATAGTGTCGAAAAGTGGACAAAACTTGCGAATATTCAATCATTTTACTCGTACTACTTTTGAATAAATTGAGGTTAAGTGTACAATGTGAATAAAGTGGCTGGCACTTGCTTTCCGAGTTTCACTTAACAATGAATGGTTTGGACTCGGAAAAATATAATCCAGATTTTAAATCGGCTTCACCATTCACCTTGAAAAGTGTACTGCGTTCTACTCTCGACTTGGTTTTATATACATACATATTGGTAGAAGTTCCTATTTTATAAGTTTGTTAAGTTTTATCGACCATTTTTACGTTCGATAAACATAATTAGAAGATTGGTGGAATATTTCGATATAATTTTTTAAGACAGTCTATGAATTTCGAAAAATCTAAAAAATTGGCTAAACATTTTACATTTTAGGACCTAGAAACATTATTGAAAGGGTAGTATAGTGAAAAAAATTTATTGATATTTCTAACGCATGAACAGGCAGATTGTCATGAAGTTTATAACACCCTTAAGAAAACGTCAGAAACCCCGTAATATGTACAGTGACGAACAAAAGTATTGGCACAGCAAGATACCTTGACTTTAGCATTGTTTTTTACCACTTATAAAATATGTTTTGATTCCAAAAAAAAAAGTCCTTAGATAGGACGAGTAATTATCAATTATATTTGTCTTAATTCAATACTGATTGACTGGAACCAGCATATACATATAGACAACCAAACTGAACTACCTGAAGTTAGTTCTGGTGTGGAAAACTTTTTTTATTTGTCAAGATATCTTCACGTAATTTAGTATAAAAGATTATCTAAGGAACGCCATAATAGCCAACTAAATTTTTCACATCGGACAACCATAGCCAATTGGCCCATATATAACCAACCAATTGGTCGAAATCAAGATAGGGATCTTTTCAT